AGGGTGCTGTGAGCTGTGATACCATAGCACTCTACCCAGGATGACAGCTTGAGGCTCTGTCTCAAAAAAAAAGGGTGGCGCCTGTGGCTCAAAAGAGTAGGGTGCTGGCCCCATATGCCAGAGGTGGTGGGTTGAAACCCAGCCCCAGCCAAAGAAAATAAAAAAGAGTCTTGGCATAATGCTGATTTGGGGGGTAGGAGGGGCTGCAGGCAGTGAAGCCCCTTGACTCAAACCAGAGACTTGGATGGGTGCTGGGGAACAGGGCAGCACTTTTTTTTTGAGACAGTCTTATTGTCACCCTCGGTAGAGTGCTGTGATATCACAGCTCACAGCCACCTCAAACTCTTGGGCTTAAGTGATTCTCTTGCCTTAGCCTCCCAAGTAGCTTGGACTACAGGCGCCTGTCACAATGCCCAGCTATTTTCTTGTTGCAGTTGTCATTCTTGTTTAGCAGGCCCGGGCCAGATTCGAACCTGCCTGCCTGTGTATGTAGCCAGTGCCCTAACTACTGAGGTACAGGCACCAAGCCTCAAGACCTGTTTTGAAGGCAGTGATAGCCAAGGAGTTGACACATAGTTGATGCTGTTGCTCCTGAGTGAATGGTGGGGGTGGGCTTGGAGAAGTAGGGCCAGCAAGGTACAGAGGGCAGGGGTGTGGGTGGGGAAGAAGTGAAGGTTGAGGATATTTGACACAAAGGCCTCTGAATAAAGGCTGTTCCAGCAGTGGGATAGCACGTGTGAAGTGAGGACCCAGGACTGCTGGGTTTATCCACAGGGTTTACCTCCCACTCCCAAGAGAAGGGCAATGCTAACAGCCATCGCAGAGGCCCTGGCAAGCATCTGACATCCTTTATTGGAAGATCACTGCTGCCTACCAAACAGAAGCCTCAGACAGCAGATGGACAGTGAAAACAGAGCCTACAGTGAGGAGTAGGCCCCTGGCTTGGGGCCCCCCCAACCTGGTAGACCAGTCTGGCAACCTTTGCCCATCTCTGGACCTTATGGCCTTTGGCATAATGCTGATTTGGGGGGGGTGAGAGGGGCTGCAGGCAGTGAAGCCCCTTGACTCAAACCAGAGACTTGGATGAGTGCTGGGGAACAGGGCAGTGGCGAGGGGGAGAGGCTGAGCCCCCTGGGCTGGAGGGAACAGCGAAAATGGAGGAAGCCAGGAGCTGGGGAGATGGTGTCTATTTTTGTTTTCTGAAAAAGGGTACGCAGAGGCCTGCAGGCAAGCAGGTGGCAGCTAGGGCAGTTCATGCGCTGACATCCTTCTCATCACCTGACTTGGGGACGGCTTCCAGCAGTGGGTCCCCGGGACCTGCCTCCTCCCCCTCCTTGGCCTCACTGGACTTTGAGTTGGGGACCCAGAGGCCGGAGTCGATGCAGCGCTGCATGTGGTACTTCGCATCCTGTAGGGAAAATGGGGAGGCTGAGCAGTCCTCCAAGTGGCCTACTTGCCTCCTACACGCCCTCAAGCCTGTTTCCTGTTTAGTCTATGTCAGTAGCCACCAGCTATGTGTGGCTACTGTGCTCTACTGAGCCTTTTGAATGTGGCTGAGCAATGGAACATTAAATTTTACTTAAATTTATTTATTTTTTATTTTGTTTATTTTTTTTTTTTTGCAGTTTTTGGCCAGGGCTGGGTTTGAACCCGCCACCTCTGGCATAAGGGGCTGGCGCCTACTCCTTTGAGCCACAGGCGCCACCCCTTAAATTTAAATTTAAATAGTGTAATCTAGAAAAAAAGGCCAACCAACTTTTTTAGTAATGGGTCAGACGGTAAATATTTTTGGCTCTGCAGGCCATATGGTCTTTGTCACGACTCAATTCTGCCACTGTAGAAAAAAAATCAGTTGTAGACAATATATGAAAACAAGTGAGCGTGGCTGCCATGCTCCAATAAAATTTTATTATATTTTTAGAGACAAAGATCTCTCTCTGTTCCCCAGGCTGGAGTATAGCTCACTGTAGCCTCCAACTCCAGGGTTCAAGTGATCCTCCCACCTCAGCCTCCCAAGTAGTTGGACTATATGCCTACTCTACTAATCCTGTATAATTTTTAAATTTTTTTTACAGAAAAGGGGTCTCACGGCTTGGTGCCTGTAGCACAGTGGTTACTGTGGGGCTGGCGCCCTACTCCTTTGAGCCACATACACCGAGGGTGGTGGGTTCAAACCTAGCCCAGGCCAGCTAAACAGTGTCAACTGTAACAAAAAATAGCTAGGTGTTGTGGTGGACACCTATAGTCCCAGCTATTCAGGAGGCTGAGGCAAGAGAATCACTTGAGCCCAAGAGTTGGAGGTTGCTGTGAGCTGTGACACCACATCACACTACTGAGGGTGACATAGTGAGACTCTGTCTCAAAAAAAGAAAAGAAAAGGGGCCTCACTATGTTGCTCAGGGTAGTTTTTAACTCCTGGCCTTAAGTGAGTCTCTACTTCAGCCTCACAAAATGCTTGAATTACAGATGTGAATTACCATGCCTGGCCCAATAAAACTTAATTTATTATACTTTACAGACCCTGCTCTAGATGTTTATTCCCATGGAAGTTTCTAGAAACCGAGGTCCTGGGCGGCACCTGTGGCTCAGTAAGTATAGCACCGGCCCCATATTCTGAGGGTGGTGAGTTCAAACCCGGTCCTGGCCAAACTGCAACAAAAAAATAGCCAGGCATTGTGGTGGGTACCTGTAGTCCCAGCTACCAGCCAAGTCCCAGCCTCAGGGAGGCTGAGGCAAGAGAATCACCTAAGCCCAGGAGATGGAGGTTGCTGTGAGCTGTGACACCACAGTACTCTACCAAGGGCAATAAAGTGAGACTCTTGTCTCTTACAAAAAAAGAAACCCAGGTCCTATAACTACATTCATTTTATAGATGAGGAAACCAGTGTAGCCAACCAGTAAGCCCCGTGGCAGTAAATGGGGTCAAATCAAGGCCTGTTAAGACTCAAAGTCCTTGTCTACTACCACTAGTGATGTGCCCAGGATATAGTAGTTTCTATCAGAACCTTCCCCGTGTCAGCTCCTTCTCCAGACATTTTGTGAGTTCCTATCAATAGAGAAAATGCGGTTTGGATAAAGAAACTGAGGTTGGGCTCATAAACAGCCCCCAATAACAGTCATTGCTAAGTCCTTAAGGCCATGCGCTAGAAGCTCTACAACCATCGTTGGACCCTGGGCAGATATTAGGTGCTCAATAAATGTATATGAACATGTGGCACAGTGACACAACCCCCCATTACTCCTTGGGGAAGCCCAAGAGAGATACTTTCACTAGCCCACTTCCAACTACAGGGCCATGGGGACACATGGCCTGCCCCCTAAGGCCTGGGACTTGGCTGGTTACTCACATTAGGGTCCATCTTGCTGATGGCATCTTGTAGCATCTGTACATCCTTCACATCGAAGCACTTCTGGAGTTCCTGGGGGTACAAAGGAGCCAGAGTCAGAGCCAGGGTCCTTGTGACCCAGGAATGGGTGAGGGATTCCGACTCACTGCCCACCTGCCACCCGCCTGGGCTGGGGAGCCACACCTCAGGGAGGGACTCGTAGACTTCAACAGGGTCCAGGCCACCAGGGCCCAGCCGCTTCTTGCGTTCCTCCTCCTCATACTCCTTCATGGCCTTTTCAATACGCAGCTTGGCACGGCCCCGCACTCGCTCTTTGAAGGCTTCCAGCTCATCATTGAACCCTTCCATGTACTGGCGGTCAGCTGTCTGCAGGGGCAGGTAATACTCACTGGTCCTGGCCCAATGCTGGGCAGTATTGGGCAGCAACAGGCCTAAGACCCTTCAGCTTCAGCTCCTAAGAGGTACCCCAGAGCTCCTCATTCTGGTCCTAAACTCGGTGGTGGGTGCCCCAAGGCTTGGGACACTCCTCTCCTCTGTCTAGGTTTCCCCCAACCAGGACCTCATCTGCCTATATGATGACACCCACCAGCTGGTGAGATCCCCTCCACTACAGACTTGTGACACTCACATCTTCTTTGTCCTCATATGGGCACCTGTAACTCAACATAACTATCTCCCAGTTCCTAATTAGTCTCCAGCCCACCCTGCCCCTGGGTCTCTCTCATCTCAAGAAGGGCAGCCCTGTTCCTGCAAGTGCTCAAGTAAACAGACAAATAAGCCAACGTGGAGCATTTGTAACTCTATCCCTTACCCCCAAATCCACACTGAGACCTTCAGCAGATCCTGTCACATCCACTTTTTGGGGGGGGACAGTTTCACTTTGTTACCATGGGTAGAGTGACATGGTGTCATAACTCACAGCAACCTCAAACTCCTGGGCTCAAGCAATTCACTTGCTTCAGCCTCTCAAGTAGCTGGGACTGTAGGTGCCCACCACAAAGCCTAGCTATTTTTTTGTTGCAGTTGTCATTGTTTAGCTGGCCCAGGCTGGGTTCAAACCTGCCAGCCTTGATATATGTGGCCAGCGTCATAGCCTCTGTGCTATGGGTGCCAAGCCTGCCCAACTATTTTTTAGAGATAGGGTCTCACTCTTGCTCAGCTGGATCTTGAACTCATGAGCTCAAGCAATCCACCGGCCTTGGCCTCCCAGAGTGCTAGGATTATAGGCATGAGCCACCACGCCTGGCCCTACCTCCACTTATGAAATCTGGACAAGAGGGCCAGGCATGGCGGCTCATGTCTATAATCCTAGCACTTTGGGAGGCCAAGGCAGGAGGATTGCCTGAGCTCAGGAGTTCGAGCAAGAGTGAGACCCTGTCTCTAAAAATAGCCAGGCATTGTGGTAGGCGCCTGTAGTCCCTGATACTTGGGAGGCCGAGCCAAGAGGATTGCTTGGCACCCAATTCTTTAGAAATTGCTGTGAGCTATGACACCATGGCCCTCTACCCAGGGCAACAGAGTGAGACTCTGTCTCAAGAAAAAGAAAAATCTGGACAAGATTTGCCTGCCTCTCATCCCCTCCCAGGCCCCTCAGGTGAACTGAGACAAAGTGGACGTGTTTTTGCCTCCTCAAGGACCACCTGCCTGTGCAATGCCCTACCTTAATCTTAGTGAAGAACTGCCGGAAGCAGGCACGGGGGTCCACCTTCAGGCTCTTGGCCAGCTCCAGGATGAACTGCATGACAATGGTCTGGTGGGCCACCTGCTCCATGAGTGCACATTTCTGCCAGGGATAATAGGTATGATGTCACCAAGTGGTGATCTCAAGATAGTGCTTTTCGGCTCGGCGCCTATAGCTCAGCCCGCTAAGG